TGCTGGAGTGGAGCAGTTGCTGGGAAGGAGGGGAATAGAACATGCCAGTATGTAGGGACATCATCAGACCTTACATGCAGAAGCACACACATGCCCACGTGGCATAGACATATGTATGCCCTAGGTCATGGATCTGCATGTGACCATGGCTGGCTTCACACACTACGTGTTCTGTGTATTTGTACATCTGTGTGCAGAAACACTTGTATATGTGAGCTTTGTGTGCCAAAGGTGGTGTGTGTGTGAATGGCGGCGTGGCTCCACATCGGTGCATTCGTTAGTACCTGGGCATTCACTGACAGGGTCCTCATGGGTGATATCTCAGGAAATGCTCCACGTTCAAAGGCAGGACATTTCACTGGGTAGATCCTAGCTCTGCTACACAGTCCCAGGCCTAAGCTGTTCCCCATCTTGTTGTGGTAAAAAGAGGCTACGTGGAAAAGACCTGAACCTGCTGCCTCCAACACTGCAAGCCTCCTTGCCTTGGGCGTGGAAGGGTGTTTGGGTGAGGAAGGAGCACGGCCCTGGGGTGGAAACCAGGGAATACTTAAAAAACCTCCCCTTGGCTTGGGGAATGGCCAGTCTTCACTGCGTGGACAGGGCATCTGGAGCTGCAAGGGTAAGGCTGTAGGGAAGGAAACATGACCAGGGTGGGGAAGAGCTATGGGGCTGGGAAGATAGGGGATAGGCCAGCAGTTCACAGTGGGCCATCCTGAGGGGGAGACTCTTTGCCCAAACCCTTGGACCATATAACAGAGTGCAGTAGCGAAACAGGGGAGAAAGACAGGCTATGGGAGAAGTGGGCATGGACTGACCTTCATCATGTGAAGAACTTCAAAATCGATTCTAGAGAAAAGGAAAAGGGGCCAGGGGCATGCAACCATCCCCAGGTCCATGTAGTCAGGCTAATTCACAATGAGTTCCTTGTCCCTAAACAGCCCATTGACAGGGGCTGTCCTGCACCCACACTCAAGCACATGCCATTTGACACTGGGCCACCTGGGAAATGACCAATGACCCAAGGTGAGATGGAAAAAGACAGGGGTCATCCAGGAAGGACCTGTCTGGAGGAAGGAGTGCCCCAAACAGCAGACTTGGGAACAATCTTGTTCACGGTTTGAATTAATGCCCCTTCTCCATTTTTCAGGCAATTATCCCAGTGCAGCAGGCGGGTGAGTATTAGTGTCACAGAGGCCTCAGGAGCCTAGCACACAACTGCCACCAAGAGACAGCAAGACAGGTCATGGGAAGGGGCAGAGGCAGGTAGTGTGTGCTGCAGGGAAGGGAGACGCCTCTCGCCCCATCTTTCCCAGGCCATATTGCAGAACTGGTGGTGAACATGGAGTCTGTGAGGCCATGAGGAGCAAATACAGGCAGAGCGCAGAGCTCTTCAGCTAGCAGCAGTGCTGGCAGCAGAACAGTTGGGATGAGCTGCCTGTCAGTACACACGATTTGGAAGACAGAAGTCTAACCATGATTTGGGAAGGTCTAGAAGAGCCTTCCCATCCAGCAAACCTGAGCTGCCTGGTCAGAATATGTTGGGAGCTTTGTACTGTGGTGCCTGTGGCCACCTCCCGGAAGTCTCTCCTGGTCCTCTGGTGCTCTGTAACCTTGAACTGCAGCTCCTCAACTATCCCAGTGGAGGGATCCACACTCTTCCCTGAGGCACCTCCATCCTACCCCACGCTGGATCCCCACAGTAGGGGGATGGGCAGCCCAGGACACACCTGGTTACGTTCTCGCTCCAAGATCAACTCATGCACCTCAGACAAGGGGCTTGTGAGCCACAGAGGAACGTATAGCCGCATCTGGAGGTGAACACAGAAGGGATGGGTCTTGTATTACCATCCTGCTGAGCCTTCTAGCACAGAGCAAGGCAGATGATTGTAGACATCTCTAATACTGTCTGAACTGCTTGTGGGTCTCTGGACATGGTACTGATGATGGCACAGGTTATATTACATCCACATCAGCCAGGAAAGGGTTAATAAACTGTGGCAGGCTCGGTCAGCCCTGACCTATATACCTGCTTGAGGAAGTGAGTTTGAAGGAAGAAATGAGAAAGAAGGGGCCTATCCTGGCCAGGAGATGAGGGAAAGTATATGCTGAGGTGGGATTCATGCTTCCATTTGCTGTTCCCATGTGAGGGAATGAATGTACCTCACTGTCCAAAGGGCTTGGCAGTTGAATGAAATCTTTATTCATTTTTTGCTTCTGCCAGGGACCAGGTGACAACCCACCCTAAGCAATGTAAGGCACACTTTTCCCCAGAAAGTGGAAGCTGACATGGCCCTGTAGTGCTATACATGGGGAGCCATGCCACTCCACCACTGCATCCTGATCTCACCGCAAGACAAATCACCGGGGGTTTTACACCATCCGTGATGCAGAGGTGCTTAGGGCTCCCTCTGCTCAGATCTCTCAGCCCTGCATTCCAGCAAAGTGTAGATACACCAGGGCACCTCCCCTCATAGCATCAAGAGAAGAAATAAAGGCTGAATCAGAGGAATGTCAGCAATGGTGGCTGAGGGGTTAAGACATCCAGAGTGCTGCATCGGTGGGGGACATAATTTTTACACATCCCTGGCTTTGTGTGCATGTACACATGTCTGCAAGAATGACCGTATGTGTGTGTGCATTTGCCTGTCTGGTGTTCTAGTAGGGGGCTGTTCTGTGCCTGGTGGGTTCAGGACTGTGCAGTGTCTGTGCAGTGACCCAGGGAGCACTCAATGCTGTGTAGGTGGGGTGGCAGCAGCACGGCCTCCACACCACGGCCCTGGGAGGGTGGAGTTCCCCACGAGGTGGCAGCAAGAGCCTACAGAGGAAGCAGAGATGCTGGGGAGGCTGCAAGCTGCTCTGCCTGGCTGCAGAGATAAGCCACAGCAAAACAATGAGCACACTGGCCTGGGAAGGTGGGACCCAGCTGGAATGGAGAATTCATCTCAAGATGACACCTGGCTGCTCTCTGGGGAGAGCATCACATGGGAGAAGCAGGCTGTAGGAGTGACCATCCTCCCTGATTTGAGGCCCAAGCAGTTTGGTGCTGAGCACAGAACCTTCATAAGGGATCTTCCTTGTGGGGCAAGGGGACCCACCTCTGAGAGCTTGCTATGGCTGAGATCTGCATGTCAGAGGTTTTACCATGGCCAGAGACCTGCGTTGTTGGACGCCTGAGTGCCGACTCTGGAGCTGGTACCGTGGGAGCAGCTTGGCTCATGGGCTAAATTACACCCACAGCCAAAATACGTATGAGGGACAAACTGGTGAGGATTGTCATTCATTCACCCTGTCCAGTGTGCAGACAGCCCCATGGACAGAACAGCACATGGAACATGCCCCAGCCCTGTGGGGGAAAAGACCATTCCCAGGAAATGTGCAGCCCTCAGTACCTCAGTCAGTCTAGCACCCATAGGTACTCTCTGTCACCAGATGCAGGTCCCTGGGGCAGGAAGGAGGTGCCAGGTATCCTGAGAGGAGCATGGGAATGTTTTGGAGGGCTGAAATGAAAGGAGCCGCAGGAAAGGAGCTCTCTAAAGCACTGGGCTGGACACTCTTCAGTTGAGGAGAATGAGCTCAGTTCAGTTTGGAGACTGTGCAGAAGCAGTATGAAATGTCTCCTTCTGCAGGTGCTGAAATGAAGCCTTTCTATCTCAAAAATTTTTCCCACTGCCCTTTTAGGTAAATAAAACTCAGGCTCGGACTCCAGAGAACCCAAAACCAGCCAGCTCTACCAATTCTAGAGAATCTTTTCAGCCCATCAAACAAATATTCACCTAACATCTCCAAAATATTCTACCTGGCTCCTCTGGCTGCTGGTTCCCAGATTAATGGAGCCATCTTATTTCCTCAGGGCTTAGCTGTTGTGCTCTGCTAACACATCCCGCTCACACCAGAGGTGAGGACTGTCCTAGCAGACCACAGACCAGGATGCTGAGGTCATCGCGCTCCTTAGGCCTCTCTGCCCCTGCCCCAGCCTGCAAGCTGGCTGCCCCACTTGTCCTTTAATGAAGAGGTCCGAAACCTGGCTCATCTCCAGCCACCACCAAAGGTCTACACAGAGCCTAGCTGAAAGACCCTATCTTGACCAATAGTCTCTGCTCTTTCTGCCTGAGCTCCCCACACTAGATCTGCTGGTGCCCCTCCATCCTTACCCATGATCCGTCTGGACCTTGCTCTTCCCCTTCCAGCCCCATCCACTGCCCCACGATGCTCATAAGTGGCTCCCAGACCTCTTGGTGGCCTGTTCATCCTCATGTGCTCAGCTGCACGGCTGCTCACCCATCTCACCCCACTCTCTCAACACCTGTGGTGCAGCATCTTGGTACAGTTACTTACAGCACCAAACCAACAAACAGCTCTCAAGGATTGAAGCAGCCCCACCGATGCTGGAATCCATTCCCTGACATCAGCTCCAGAGCTCAGTAATGCCTTTGTCAGTCTGGATCCTTTCCCCGCAGCAAGTGGATTCACACTGATGTAAGAGTTATTAAAGTTTGGCTGTAGGTTCATGAAGGATAGCAGCATGCCAGTGCCACCTCCCTATTCCATCCCCTTCCTTCTAATGGACTCAGGAGGTTAATTAATGCCTAATTGTTAATATCTTACATTCCTCCAACGACTCAACAAGGAACCTCAAATCATTTTGCAGACTCTAGTTACAGTCCCCTGCTTTGTGAATGGCAAAATTGCAACACAGAATTTGCTGATAATCAAGATCTGCATCAGCAACTTACCCCAGTCCTGATCCCTAGCTCTAACCTCTGACCTACCCTGCTTCTCCTTCTATGTAGTTGGACTGACTCCCAAACGGCAGCCTTTTATAAAACCCTCATAGGCAAGCTGCCTAGGAGTCAGCCTTGCAGGGACCTGAGGCTGGGAAACAAAGAGTTAAACAATATACTGATATGCTGGTGAGCTCATCAGAGCTGGAATATGCTCCATGTTTATTAGACTCTTAACAGAGCCCAGTAGACAACATCCAGAGGGATGCGGGGCTGGGGGTGAGCCTGGATGAGGAGAGCAGGACCTTCTCCTACAGCTTGTCCCACCCCTGGCAGGGAGGGGAGCCGTCCTTCACCATGTAAGTAGAACTACTTTCCTAGGGTTTGGCTCTTGGGGTGGTGGAAAGGGAGAGGGGACAGAGCACAGCAGGGCTGGGGATAATTCTCTTGCTGAGCCCTGAAAAGGAACTTGCAGATGTCCCTTGCTCAGCAAGGAGAAGACACTGAGTTAGTTGCTGGGACCATCTAAACTCCAGGTGATGCTGAAAAGCTGCTTCCAAGGGATACAGGATGCTGGGCCCAACCCAGCTCTGCTACACTAGCAAATGGACACTGACTACGTCTCAATTTACATCCAAGATCTGGCGGGGCCTCTAGGCAATGTGAAATCCCCTGACTATTGCATTGACTATTTCTCCACCCCCAGTCTTAAAGCGTAGCTAGCCGGTCTGCAGGGACGTCCCCATACAGTCACCACCAGCTCCCTCCTCACTCTAGGGGTGAGTAGGGGCATGGGGAAGGGAGGAGAGGGGCAGTGAGGCTCTAAAATTCAAGCCTTGAACTGACAAAACTCTCTCTGTCTTCTTTCGGAGAAGAGACTGCTTGGGCCTGCGCAATCTGACTCTCTTAGGGGTGATAGAGGGGTGGATAGGCTCAGTTGCTCCTTCTGTGCCTGCAGAAGCCTGTGGGTGGATTCCTCTGCTGAGCACTCAGGGGATGTTTAATGCAACTGGCTGCCTCATCTCCTGGAGTGAGCTGCTACGCACTGAGACGACAGCGGCAGAGCATGGTGAGTGAGCTCTCTGAATGCTCCATTCCTTCTCAAGGGATTTCCTGCCCTGACTCCCATCTGCTCCCTTCCTCCTCTGCAGCCCTCCAAGCCCCACTGATCCTGACTGTCTGGCTGGGGGACTCCCAGGGAGGGGGGCCAAGGCCATACAGCACCAATCCTCTTTTCATTAACCCCATTTGGGACTGTGCCACCTCTGGCACAAAGAACAGAGGTGCTGCCACAGGTCAGTGTCTCCCTGCATTCAGGTCCCTGGAGGGAGCCGTGTAGCTGTCGGGCTCCGAGCTCCTTGAGGGAGAGGCTGGGGGACAGGTCCCATACTTTCAGGAGGCAGCAATTCTCCATTGCCCAGCTTACTTGGTTTCTTGGGGAATTCAGGCATGCTGTGTAACTGCACATGCATCTTGCACCTGCTGACTTTGAACCTACTAGCCACTCTGAATTAAATTTGGCCAGGGTTAGGTATGTTACAGACATTAAGTTCCTGAAAAGTGCATGCAAACACACGTCCACCAGTTCAGCAGCCTCCTTTCCCACCCACCCTTCAGCCTGTTTATAGGGTCAGTCACACGCAGGTCCACTGGAGCAGCTAATCCCTGTTCCTAACAAGCATGGACCCATGATCGTCATCTAGAAGGTTCCTGTCCTAACAGTAAACAGCAAGACCTCTTACAGAGTTAGACTGACACAGCCCAGAGCAGCAGGAAAAGCCATCTCAGCATGCTTACATTCCACAATGTTTCTTCACTGTTGGGATCCACCCGTGAGAACTTTGCTGCCCACACTTTGGGGTGGTAGGCAGGACACATCCTCCAGCTGAAGGACAAATTAATCCTATGGGCCCTACCCCAAAGCTCTGCAGAGCACCTGATGCTACGATCGGCCAGGTAAATGTCCCAAGCCACCTGACAGCTGAGAAAAACCTCAGTGGGCTGTGGAGTGGTGGGGAGGGTCTAGAGGGTCCTTCTCTGTGGGACAGTTTGTGGTTTTTGTGAGGCAGTATCTAGACTGTGGCTGATGGAAAGTTCAGTCACCAGGTACTCTCCTAATATACATTTCATAGACCCCCTGTGTGCAGAGGTGAAGGTGCGATCTGATGTTGGAGGTATGGCTGTGGCAGGTCAGTGACCCTGGAGCCAGGTCAGGTTCTAGTAGGGGAAGCACGAGCACATCTGGGTTCAGGTTATTTTCCATTGACATGCTCCATAGCATCAGAGCTAACTTGCACCCAAACCCAATGGTGATGGTGGTGCTCACTCAGTTTGCTTGCAGACAGCTCGTGGGTAAAGCCTCAGGAAAAGCCCGGCCCTTGAGCCAGGCTGTCCTCTTCTCTTCTCCCTTGGTGTAAATTACAACAGGCCATGTCCAGGGAGTGCAGGGCTCACTTTGCTTTTTCTTCAAAACTTTCTTTTCCATGAGGGTTGTTTCCCAGAGGTGTTGTGGGACAGCTTTCTTCAGGAAGGTAGCTTGACAACAAACAGAAAAGGAAAATATATCCATAGAGAAACTTGGTCTCCATTTCCAGCAAAGTTTGGCAGCTGGTTTTCAAAAGCCTTAACTTTTCTCCCAGTGATTTGTGTGGTAAAACTCTGGGCAGGGGACCTTGGCTGCTACAGCAACTCTACATGACCCTGCACACAGCAGCTTCACCACCACCACCTGTGGCCCAGGCACTGCCCTGCTCCCTGCCTGGGGCAAGCTCATGCTGCCTGCACACCATGGATGCTCCTGTGGGATAGCATCCACCTAATCCTAGGGCAGAGCCCAGCTCCAGCTTCAGGATGCTGAGCGAGCTGTTCATGAGGAAGAGCTGAAGAGAAATAAACACCAAGCCTAGGGAAGACTGTCTCTGTCCAGGTGTGCTTGGTGCTCCCATCCTTGCAAAATCGGAGGAGGAAGTGGCAGGAACAAAATGTTGCAGGGATTTAGGGTCTTAGGAGGAAGCATGTGAGAAGCTCCTGAAGAATCAGAGCTGCCTCCGCACATAGAGAGGAGACAGACAGGCAGAGGACTGGATTTTGGAGATTAAAGCCAGGAGCCCCTGCACAGCCAGGAGGACACACACCCAGACGCAGGAACAGGGTTTTCAGATTAGGCTCCTGTACCACAGCATACCCATGTACCATGGCATAGCCTTTGCCACATCTGGAGGTTATTTGTGGCATCCCAGAGCCTGGGTGCTCATATTTTGGTGTCAGTCTTTAAGGTTTCTAAAGGATTTCTAGCCTCTATGGTTGCTGAAAGACTTGATGCCAGCCCCTGTAAGAATAAAGAGACTGTCAGGGAAATTAAATCACCTGAAATTAGATGGTTCATCAAAGATCTCAGGGATCCATGAAGCTCTCAGTGTTTCATGAGGCCATCTCCTGCCTCTGTGTGAGGCTGGCAGCTCCCGGTTTGAGGGGAAGAGAGTCCCCATTGCATGAGTGCTCCCCTAGCATGATCCTTCCCCCTGTATTGGCGAGGGAGCCTGCGGGTCCCCAGGGCAATGCCACATCCCCTCTCGAGGCCCATCCCATTAACCTCACAGCTGACAGCTCCTGCTGCTGGGAACCGGTGGGAGAGGAAGCCCCGCCACAGCTGAGAACAGGTTGAAGGACCCAGCAGAGAATGCTCAGCTGCACTCGGCTCAGTCTGAGTATATCTCCTGTCCCCCGGTTTGTTCCCTCGTTGTGCTGCCCAGACATCTCCTCCCTGCTGTGACTGGCAGGCAGTGATGATGTGCAGCTCACCAACCAGCTGGACCTTGGAAGTCAATTTCCCTTGGCCTTTGGGGAGGAGACAGTGTTTGTCCAAGGTATGTTAGATTACTTCAAAGCACAGCCTGCGCTCTGTCCTGAGGGAATGCATACCTTGCCCACTATGGTTTAATCCTGCCCTCATCACCAGCCATTTAATGGGTCTCCACAAGACCCAAGAGGTACCCAAAAAAGCAGATGATGGAGCAGGATGGGGTATCCTTGGAAATGCTTGAACCCACCTGGGAGGGATAGTCCAGGAGAAATATAAGTACATCTTCCCACATGGAAGAGGGGGCTCTCGCAGTCACAGAGGCGAGGCTGCACAGCTCTCTGTGAGACAAAAATAGCTGCAAAATTGGTGGCAGCAGCTACAAATTTGTTCCTAACAGAAAGGCCCAAAGTACGATCAGGCTTGCCTTTCCATCTGTGCTTTTCAAGAGGGCAGTCAGCTAGGAGGAATAGAGTCAGTGTGCGGCACAGCTTTGGTACTACGCTCCACCTGCACCATCAGCGAGCAGGCTCCAACAGGTCCCTCAGCTCAGAAACTGAACATCACCACACAAAGCAGTGGAAGAGCAAAAGGAGGAGAAATGGCACCACATGAGGCTCCCTCTTATGAAGTGAAGCAGAAAACAAGAGACCCCACTATTAGTGCCACTGCCGACAGCTGTCCAGATTGTAGACACAGAAGCAGCACGCCACCAGACATGGTATCTGAGATGTGCTCTGGAGGCATTTTCAAGCCATCCGCTGCAGCTCTGCTTACAACAATAATGACTTAAAAATTTGGGAGGAATCTGATAGCATTATCCTGCCAGGCTGCTCAGTACAGTCATCACATTGCCAAAAATGAGCACATCTGTGATGAATTAGGGATGGAGCATGGGCAGAACAGGAACTAAAATCACATTAACCCTCCCAAGAGCTGCAGATGCATGCAATGCTAGCAAACAAACTCCCCACAACTTGTAGGGAGTGAAATCCTTCATTAGCCAGTGGTGCGGAAAGCACGCTGAGCCTCATGCAAAAGCATAGAGAGCAACACAAAACAGAAAGCATAAATTAAAGGAAAAGGAGCAAATGTGGAAAACGTGTGATCAGACAAACTGCTCTGCTAGTAAGTGCCACCATCTGGGAATTGTGGTGAGATGGATGATTATGCCAGGAAAAAAAAAAAAAAAAGAAAGAAAAAAAATCCACTCTAATGCAGATGTAAGCTTGGAAGGAAGAGAATGGTTTCTGCATGAGTATGAGATTAATGTTCTGCAAAACCAAGAGGAAGACCCTCTGCAGAGCACAGAGTACTCCAGATGCAGAGGCAGGGCAGTAGCACATGGACAAGCAGGGAGTCGGACGCCTGAAAGATAGGGCTGGACAGACTGCATTAGACTGATGAGGTATGAGATCTGGGCATTATTCCAGAGAAGAAAGCAAATTTCCGACAATAAAGCCAAATTAAAATTTTACAATGGCCTGATCATAAAACCTCTCCATGAAGGATGTTACAAGGGGAAAGCCAGGAAAGCCCACGACTACCTAGGGTGAAATTTCAGGCAGAGCCATGAGAAAGCTTGGATTTGAGTTAGAACGGGGGGACCACAGCCCAGTAACACTATCATCTGGTACCGAGGCTGCACACACCAGCAAAGCAAGAAGTTATCCAGGGTCTGGGCAGCTCAGGATGTTTTTGGAGGACTGAGCTGATTCCTGGAAAGGTTGTAATTGGAAGCAGAGCAAATATTTTGGTCCACACAGCACAAACCTTGCTGTGTCCCCTGGGCACCAGAGAAGATGTGCCCCATTGCTGTCAGCAAATTTTGTCACAGGAGCCTGTGGCTGCTTGGACCCATGGCTTACAGGAGCAGAGGCGAGCTGCATCACAGAAGCCAACAGCGGAGGAAGCTGTACCCTGCTCACCTGCACATCTAACATGGTTGTAGCCTTGAAAATAACCTCTCCTGGCAGTTCATGCATTCATAAAGCCATTTGTGGCTTTGACCAAGGGGTCAGCATACTCCACCGTGATTGCTATGGCCAAGCTTTGTGCCAGGTTGCAGAGGTAGGACTAGCAGCTCAAAAGGAAGACAAACAGAGAAACCAGAGTTTGCTACTATGACCAGACTTGCCTGCCTGCCATCCTTGACCAAGTGCTGTAGCAGATAAACCAGGACAGCAGTAGAAAGAGGCAGGGAATGTGTAAACTCCCCAGCTCCCATCTCTCCTGGTGCAAAAGAGAGGAGTGAAAGCTGCTGGGGGGAGGGATGCAAATAGTACCCATCACCTTCCACACTCTCTCAGTTTTTCTTTTTTTGCTTGTTGGCCCAAGTTTAGCAAATCTGAAATAGCACAAAATACGTTGCTGCTACCAGATCTGCATTTCTGCAACAACAGAGTGTGTGAGTATATGTTGGGGGTGGAACTGAGCTGAAAAATTACATCTGGCGCTATTCAAAACAAACCGTGAACCTGGGCAGGGGCCACAGATGAAAGAACAAGGTAGATGTTCGTTGAGCCTGGCCACTGGCTTCCCCAGATGGGCATAGGGCTCAATATGCCGCAAATACCAATGGGTTTCCTTAAGACTGTGCCTCTGGAGCTGTGCCAGCTTTGTAGCCCCTGGACAGCTGTGCTCCATCTATGTGGTGCATGCTCTCACACGGATTAGCAGTAGCAAGAAATGGGCTGGGGCCTCTGTCCAGGGAGGCTTCATTCTCATCTTCTTTACACCCTGTTGCTGCCCAAGGCTTCCAAAGGCCGTGTCATATGCAGGATGCAAATCCAGAAGGGTATCATCATGCCTTCCAATGAGCCATCCCAAAGGCTCATCAGAAAAAAGTGGATCTGAGTGTGGCCACTGCTGAGCTGAGCAAATACACACAGTCTGTTACGCTCTGTGTGTCAAAAAAGGACCAAAGAGGGGCTCTAAAGTAACTGCTCTGGATCAAAGCCCACTTAGGCTCAAAGCTTGTGTTGTGCTTAGGAAGAGCTATGCTTTGCAGGTCGGCAATGGACAGGGCGTAGAGTACCGATGGCTCTGCCCATCCATCTGAGGTGTATCAGAGGTTTGTGCTCAGGCCAGAATGGACAACACCAGCAGCTTGACTGCTTGCCCTCAGTGGGGAGGAGCCCTAGACAGAGTGCTTACAGGGCTGAGCTGGGCAGAAATTACTAGTGTTTCTGCTTTCTGGTGCTGGCAGTAGGCTGGTGCCAGGTCCTGGGCTTCTCCGGGCTGGCACCACTGTCACACTCCTGCTCCTGCCCATAGCCCCAAAGGTCAGAGGGCCTGAACAGCAGATAGACCACGGCCTGCAGTCTGGGGTCAGTCCCAGCCCTCCTGCTTGGGGAAAACCTAGAACCTCAGGCATGAGTTTACCTCGGAATAAAATCCTGGCTGTGAAATACCCATGGGTCTGTCCTCTTCTGCTTCCCTCACCCTTGGTGCCCTGGACTGGTTCATCTCTGCTGGGCTTCCCAGCAGCAAGACAGACCGTGCAGGGTGTGGAGTACTCACCGATCCATCTTCATGCCCTTGTTTCTTCAGCAGAGCCCTGAGGAAATAGCGGTTTATATAATGCTCGTCCCTTCCCATTTACCATCATGTAAAGTGATAAAGGCACTTAGCTTCTGAGAAAATCTATTTCCTTCTTGATTTCATGAAAAAATAACGCAGTGCCAGGGCCCCTGAGGAAGTCACATTGCTGATCCTGCCATTGCAAGGCAGAGCGTTTCAGTATGCGCCAACGACTGAGCATCCCAGAGCAGCCTGCCCCAGCTTACACTTGGAGAAATATTTCCTGTCTGATGAGGACTTTCCTGTCTCCTATCCTGTGCATTCAGATAGGAAAAGAGAAGCCCCTGTCTGTGGCAGCACAGGTAGCAGGGCAGTCTGCCCCATCTCAGTAGCATGGGAAATGGAGTCACAGAGTCAAAGGTGAGCTAAAGTCAGCCCAGGGATCTAGAGAGCACCTGAAACTGGAACCCACACCCCAATTCCCAGGGCAGCCTTGTTCCCTGGGATGCAATACTGTGAGGCTCACACGTCTGAGCAGCATGTGGCAGTGAGGAACATCCAGCCCAAGGTGTGCCTCAGGAGGCACTCAGCCCAGGGCATGGGAGGCTTTCAGTCATCCCACTGTGCAGTCCTGACCTTGGCACACCTCTGCCTTTGTTTCCCTACCTGCAAGGCAGAGAGAGATATGACAGTATCACAAGGTGCTGAGGTTTAAGTTGGAGTTAAGGAGGTAAAACAGGTCTAGGGATATAGAGCTCTTCCCCACAGCCTGCTGCCTGGTGCAGCATGCTGACTGCAGCAGCACAGCCAGCCTTGCTTGCAGGTGGTTGGAAAGCCTCCAGCACCCAGCTACTCCCCCGAAAATAGCCAAGAGCCCTACAAGGCTCAGGGCAGTGGGTCCCAATGGACACCTACTGATCCCACCACTGCAGTTCTGCGGGAGCTGGAAGCTGGTGAACTGGAAGGTCTAAGCACATAGCCTGTCCTGGGGCCCGTGGTGGGGCAATGAGACTCCTGCAGGCCTCCTCAGTGCCTGCCCACCAGTGGGACCCAATTCCTAAATTTCACTGCTCACAAAGATGTGCTGCTCTTTTCTCCTCCCTGAAGTGACCCACAAACCCTTCTCCACCTTCATTTGAAGTGACCAGAGTACATGCACTGGTTAATCAACAAAACGGAGAGCACCTAATCCATCGCTCCAGCACTAGCCCTATTCTGTTCTTTCTCTTTCATCCATCTCAGGTCTCTTCCTCAGATCCCGTCACCACGGAAATCCCCCCCAAAAGCCCTGATGGTAGTGAAAAGTCACCTCAATCCAAAGAGCTGCTGCCTAGTAACACAGCCAGCACCCTGTGCATAAGCTCTCGGAGTGAGTCTGTCTGGACCAGTGCATCCAGAAGCAAGTGGGACATATACCACAAGCCCGTCATTGTTGTGTCTGTCGGAGCAGCTGTCTTCCTCTTCGGGATGGTTATCACCAGTCTGTCTTGCATCCAAACCAAGAACAAAGATGTTTACAAAATGTGTGGCCCAGCCTTCCTGTCCATGGGACTGATGCTCCTTGTTTGTGGCCTTGTCTGGATCCCCATCATCCGGAAGAAGCAGAAGCAGAGACAGAAGTCACGGTTTCTGCAGAGCCTCAAGTCTTTCTTCTTTAACTGCTGAGGGCAGTGCAGGGCCTTACCAGGAATGCTCCCCTCCCCTCTTCCCACCTGTGTTGACTAGCCATTAAAAAAATAAAAAAATAAAAAAGAGTACTCGTGAAAGTGAACTTTGTGTTTTATCCAGGAAACCCAGAAAAAGAGAGCCACATTTTCCAGCAGAACCTAGCAAGGAAGGTCCAAGCTCTCTGCACTGCCATCATGTACAGTGACCGCCCTACATCAAGTATCAGGAAAAACAAAGCAAAGTCTGTTTCCACCTAGTAGCTTCTGCAAGACCCATCAGCAGAGAAGGTCCTGTTTGCTGGGGGAACAGCTCTCAGAGGGGAACCCATCACCTACAGAGCACGGATAAATACTGATTTGAACATTGTTGACTGCAGATAGTAGTTCAGACCTGGAAAACAGGAGGCCAGATACGATTTACCCAGAGCCAGTTGAGGCGGGAAGCAGGACAGCACAATTCCAGACTGCTTTGTACCAGGGGAGACCACCAGAATGAGGAACACACATCACCAAAGTTTAGCAGGATCAGACATGAAGCCCATGGCCAGGCGTTTCCTATTGTCGGTCTGTAACGATGGCTGGCTGAGACATGGCTGTAAATTGAGGCTCGGGGTGGAACGCTGGCATGTATTTAGACCTCTACAGAGTCAAGGCAAGGAGCAGCAGCATAAGCAGCATTTTTTTTTTTGATCCCCTGGGCAGAAGATGTTTAAGAAAGGCTATTTCTCAAGGCCTGCAGAGGTAAAGTTGTTTTGCAGCATCTCTCTGTGTATGTTGATGTTTTCTGCCAGAGCCACCTAGAAACCTGAACTATCAGCTGTTTCACAAAACCAGAACTGGACCACAGGCAAGTGAAACAGGTTCTTTATCTCCAACACTCTCCACTTCTGCCTTTAACAAATGCGTGCCCTGAGGCAATTTACCAAGGAAAGCAAGAATACTTCCCACATGTTTCTGCTTTTATTTTGTATTTTCAGCAGACATGACTTACTTTAAAAGACAAATTTGAAATGCCAGTTCCCAATCTGCAGAACTCATCGCAGGGCTGGATGGCAAAGCCTGCTTTCATATAAATGGGCCTTCAATGTCCAGCTCCTAATTCTGGATTCAGGCACTGATAAGAGTCTGATTTTTCAGTAGTGCTCACCTAGTCTGGATCCCACAGCAGCCCCTCAGCAGGTTTGTACAGCTGGTTAGACCACCTCATTTGTACTTTCAGGCTCTGCAACATCCTAGTGCAGCACACTGTAATGATCCCTTCAAACCTTCTATTCCCAGGAGCAAAGCTCAACTGGTACCTACTATCCCATCTCCAAGGAGCAGTCCCACCTACTCCCATGGATCAGGCCCATTAAGACAGTGGGAGCTTCCTGACCTGGGGTTACCTGGTCATGAACTCCAAGGAAGATAGTGTAGAGAGAAGAGGAACAGAGACTCTACAATATTCTGCACTGACTGAGGAACCTGGGCATCAGCACAGTCTGCAACAACTTTTGATAATTTCACGTTTCATCTAGCAAGGGTTGCAGCGTGGGTAAAGACAACAGCTAGGGATGCTGGAGGCTCTGGATAACTTCAGAAGAAACAACAACAGAGGAGGATAACTGGGCCTGCTGCTCTAGGCAGGTAGGAGCCCAGGGGTCAGTTACAATTGAGACGTGTTTTGGGTAGTCAGGGATCACAACGCTGTTGCTGTGGGGACTGTAATCAGGACCAAGAGCTAACTACCTGCGATGAAATATTTAACTTCTTCATGGCCATCTCTGGCTGAACTCCCTTACAACTGAAATTAGTGCGACGTCAGCATTTCTGCCTAATACTACGGTCTAAAGTGCCCATGGCCCAAAGCCTTCAAGTGGAACCATTTGTGGACCACAGTCTCAAAAAAGTTGGCTAACAAGATAAGCAAGAGAGCTCAGGCTCACCTAGTCACTGCTGCTAGGCTCCAAACAGTACATGATCAAGAATGCACTGTCCCATGCACCTGGATATCCCTCTCACCAGTGCTCAGAGAGTTTGAGGAGGCAGCTCTCAAGCTTGTCGGCGGACGCTTGTTGGATTGGCAGCTGACACATGGCAGCTGGATTACAAGTACTTGAGCAACGCAGGTTCCTTTGCTCTGGGATTAGCCTAGCCCTGAGTTTTATTTCCTGAGCTGTGCAGAGATGTGGGTGTCTCTGGCCAGCTGGTGTCAGGTTTGTGAATGGGGTGTACAAGGTGTGTGATCTGGCACTGGATCCAGTAAACCTGCATTTGTTCTTCAGCCATTCATCATGCCACTCAGTATTTTGTTTGCTTTTTTTAATCCTAACTTGGCACTAGCCAGAAGTCTCTATTGATTTAGCTGCAAAGGGCAGAGAAAGCTCACCGAAAGCTTGTGCTCAAGGCATAGCTGCAGTCAGAAGAGCAGAAAAAACATCAGGATTTGTGAGGGGGAAATTAAAGATTAACATGAAATAACGTGAACTGGGGCCTGGCTGGCATCAGCACGGAGAACTGCTCACCTGATCACAAACAGGAGTCCTAAAGCCGCCAAGTGTGGAAAAGGCAACTGAAAATGTTCGTTGCTGCAGACAACTCTGCTGTGGCATGAGACTGGGCCTGCTGTCTGAAGGGATCTGATATGAGCACTTAAAGTATCAAATGGCCGAGAGAGAGAGGCAGCAGGAGGTGCTGTTCTCCATGCCTCACAATCAAGGACAAGGAGACAGTCAGTGAAACGTTAATATGACAAGTCACTGAGACCAAGAATTTAGTGGGATTCCAGCCTGATCATTTATATCAAGAACATCAGATTTCATTAAAGCAAACAATTCCCAAGGGACTTTTATCTTCCTGCTCTAGTCTCACATGGGTTGTTCCATACCGTCTTACGGAGTTAAGACCCCTTTCTCTGGGCTGCCTGTTGCCAGAGAGGGGAGGCTGTGTTATAAGGTGTGTGGGATATATCATGGTGCAGCAACTAGGGGACACCAAACAGGACTGGTTCGCTTTAGACAGCAGGAAGAGAAGAGTGGGGTTGGCAATGAAGGTGTCTGTTTGGGCTCTCTGGGGGTGCTGGCCGTGCGCCCTTAATGAGGGTGCTCAGGTCTGGGGATCTGCTCCGTGGACTCCTCTCATAGGTATGACGCGGACACGGGAAAGTGATTTCTTGAGCCTAATAAGGGTATGGAGCCTGTCTAAGTGAGGAAAAAGGCAATAGCCGAGGGATCAGCAAAGCGTGCTGAAAAGAGGAGTGGGATTTATGAGGCACATCTTGCCTATGTCTCCCTACCTCTGTAGGGGGACAGGATTAAGGGGATTAAACAATTAATTGAAGGAAAACAGCTCGAAGCTCAAGATGCAGGTGGAAGTACAGCAACAGACTGAAAACTCCCCAGTTTATTTCTCATGGTACAAATGCCTGATTACTACCAGGGGGCTGGATGGGCTTTGAACTGTGCATGAGCAGCAAAGAGCTCCCAGCACTGGGAAATGGATCGTTCTCTTGAGTAGCTGAGCTACAACAACTGAAGGAGACAAAGACACAAGATAGCTTACAGGCAGCCTGCAGGCTGTTTACGAGGATTTGGTTAGGAGATGACCTAAAAGGCATGTTCTAATGAGGCCCAGCAAAACTCCACATGGCTTAGTTGGAATCTTAAGGGAGCTGCACAGGTGGAATTTAACCTAGGAGTATAACCTGTTCCTAGATGGAATATAAACGGGAAATTAAAGGAGCTAAAGAGGAAGCAGGCATTGCAGAGGGTGTTTGGGATGATAATAAAATGCTAAAATTCATCAAACGCAAGAGGCCAGATCGGACTGCTTGCTGGCCAGCACATAAAAGGGGATGATAAGGCCACAGAAAAGCTGAGTGATTTCTTTGTGAGTCCCACCCCGGCCAACTCTTCTTCACAGTTGCTCAGAGGAGCCAGACCAGCTTGACATAAAGCTACAGGAAGCAGAGGACTAAACGGGAGTCAGCAGGATCCCAGGACCAGCCTTCTGGGACCCCTAAGGAGCTCAGCTGTGAGAGAGCACAGCTGCTGTTCGACATGTGCCATGAGCTTCACAAACAGGAACTGCGGTCCTGGACTGCCAGGATGGCAGGGTAGCTCCCAACTACAGCAGGAGCTCTGAAGGGGACCCGGGGGCCCCCAGCCTGCCGAGCCTAGAGACGGCCTATAGGCTGGCAAAATGGTGGTGTCCATAATAAAGAAGATCACTTACCACGGACAAATAATGTGCAAGAAGGAGCCCGTGAGGCTTCTGTGACAGGAAATTCTGCGTCAGTGCCACAGGATGGGAAAAAAGGTCTTTCTATGGACTGAAACCTGGTGAAAGGACAGGAAGCAAAGACCGTTCCACTCAGCATCTTTTCTTGGACATCAGTGAACCTCTAGATCCCACTGCTGGAGGGCCTGTAGAGGCAGGTGGTATCAGTGAGTTCAAAACAGGGTTATGGGCAACAGATCCATACAGACAGTAAGGGAACAGGGAGGGATACGCCCCCTAGCATCAATAATATAGCAAGAGTGGATACTGGAGAAATCCATGGGGAATGGACTGCAGGAAGCACTGGGCTTGCTGTCCCCAAATAGCATTTCCTACTGCCACTGCTGGAGACAAGCTGTCCCCTCTATCATGCTAGAGGGACCTTTGATCTGACTGTAGGCAGCTCATTTCTTACGGTCATTGGCATGCACCAGCAAATTACTCTTTTACCGCTTCCCAATATTCTTCTGTCATGTCTTTCATGTAATACTGTAGCCTATTTGAATTCTGGTATGACAGTTGGGATGAGGCCTAAGAAATCCATGTTTTAAGTAAATATCAGGTTAGCAAGCAAATATGATTATGTCCAGCTCTTACTAAAGCAAGATTAGTTGTGATCTGCCAGCTTCCCCCGTTCTATAAAAAGAGCAGGAAATCCATTACAAAATTCATTATCTCTGCAGAGCAGTTCAAAGAGGAAATGTTTCTTCTGCATCTCCAAGGTCATCCCCCCCACCAGCAAACCCACTGAGCAGGCTC